GAGTAACTATTATTTATAGAATTTATAAGTATCAATTTAGATTAAATTTTAACAAATATGGTATGAAATAAAGACATATTTATAATAAGTAAATTTTATTTATTTAGTAAAATTAATTTATTAATATATTTATAGAGCTGTAGTGACTACATTAAATTAAGTTTTATAAAATTTATTACGATTTCAGACAAAAGTAATATCCTTAACGGTTATATTTTTTTAATTAAAATATTTATTGTCTTATATAATTTTTTAATTATCAAAAAATATATATGTATAATGATTACTATTTTTTTTAATAAAATAAATGTAGTAATTAATTAATAATGCAAATTTCTTGATTACAATAATGGAATATCATATTCTAATTTTTTTATCCTTTTTTATTACTTTTCATTTTACCAATAAAAGCAATTACGAAGGAAAAAAAAAATATATGAAAATTAATTTTTAGTGACACATAGAATGCACGTGGACCCAACCTCATACCAATCGGGGCAGCGCCCTGATTGACATGTACGTTCTATCTAATACCATCAGAGTCTATCCAAATTAAGGCCATTGGATTTTACTTCCCAACAAAATTAAAGTTTTCCTTGGTTGAATAAAAAATGGATTCATAACATTAAATGTGTATATATATATATATACACACACATACATATTCTTGTTTATCATCTGCCCTAGAGGAACACCATTTAAGAAAAGGTCAAGTGTGTGTGTGTGTGTGTGTATATATGTATACATATACGGGTTCATGCACGTAAGTGAAAAAATAGGCTTAATGAAGTAATAGCCTAACTTTTGAAATTTTTATTTTTAAATTAATTTTTCAATCAATTTTGTTAATATAAATTGATTTATATATGTATCATCATCACATAAAAGTCAAGTTATCTAATAGTATGAATGTCAAATAAGTTAAATATGTAAATATTATACCCAAAAGGTAATAAAATATATTTAAATACTTTGGCTTAAGAATTTTTGGGGTTCTTCGAGGTGGAAAGAATTCTAGGTTATCCTTTCACATTTAGTATGTATGGAAATATTCTATATTTGTACGTCTATAAGCGATAAAATTCATAATGAGATGAGATAGACGAATGCAAATGATGCTAAAATGACTCCGAGACTAGCATATAATTTGTAGCGATCAAAATATTCTGGAGAGAAAAAAGTGTCACCTCACATGTGAATCTGATGAATTTTTCTGTAATATTATATTGATCTCCATAAATTAACAATATATCTCTTGTATGAAATCATAATTCATGAGACTCACAACAATCTTTCAAAATTTCATAATAATAATACATAGAATCCTATACGTTAAACAAACAGCAGCCTATGCATACTACATCTTTACCTATTCATTCATGTACGACATGTCTGTATCTATATTATTATACATATATCCTATACAACACTGATGCTCAATACACACTCACTCACATACATAAAAAAACTTTACAAAACACCTTTCAGGACAACATTTAAATCATCCATCAAACTTTTAAATTAATAATTTTAAAATCAATAAATTATTTTATGAAAACATGAAATCTCCGAATGAAAACTAACTTAATTCTTATCAGGATCTC